AAATGTAACAAACATTAAAACAAAATACACAATTTCACATTAAAAAGAAAAACTCTAAGCTATATATAAACAAGGCTCTCTCTTTTCTTCTATGTACTGTTCATTCATTTTTCTCTGACTGGCAGCAGCTTCCTTCAATGCCTAGAGCTCCCAGGCACTGGTTCCCTGGCACAATCACAATCAAGTCTTCCCCTTCCTGCTCACACTTTGCCCCACTCCACAAGTCTACCAATTCTCTCCATAGCACCTGCTACTTTGTGGACAGACGCTCATCTTCTCAGCTTGTTTCTCTTCAAGCCACTCTATGCAATGTCAACACACAGAGCAAGACCCAAACATCTGCTTCTTATAGTTTTCCAAATAGAGTGTTTTCTTCCATAACATATGAGGAACAACCCCTCACACAGGAAGCCATTCTCAGTCTGATTTCCTACTCACTTCATTTCAATTAAATTACTTACACATCTGGTGTCATCTGCTAAAATGTGTGTGTACAGCACTATTACCTAGTCTAAGTACCAGGACATTTTAACCTATATATGCTCACTCCTTAAAGGAGTCCTGTGTTCTTTCCAACTATAATTTTATGTGCCTACTGTGAAATTATTTTAAATAAGAAAGAAACCACCACAGACTGTACTGTTTAAAGAAGTGTACTATGAAGACAGATTTTCAGTCAGCACCACCCGGGCAAAAATCAAGACTACTGGATACTCTGAACTCTGACTTCAGTGTGACTGTTTCACTCCAGAGCTGCAAAGGTTGACTGTGGATATAACACTAACTTTGAGGCCAACATCATCAAATCTCTGTTCATCTTCCCATTAACTTCCCTGTATGCGCAGTCTTCTGATCCTTTCAGTACTGACCTCCCTCAGACTATGAGTGTCTTAGTCATTTCCTGCAGGTGTAGTAGAACGAGGAAGACTGAGTAAATGTAGAAAAGGCATTACCTCTCAATTCAAGATGCTGGTCATGGAGTGAATAGCCTCTGACTACATAATAGCAAAGGGCTACTGTACAGCATGATAGCATTTACTATGAAGAGAGTAAGATGGGCTCAACTTCAAGCCTTTTACAACTGGTACAAAGACTTAAGTACTTGCTGGAGTTCCTACCTCCCAAGACCAGAGGGATGTTTGCTCCAGGTTTTGTATGGCGTGCTTCTGAAAATGTCAGGTTCTGTGCAGAAGTATATTAACTCATGAAAAGGAAGCACAATTTTGTGTTTCAGTTTTGCTTTTTTTGAGTTGGGTCTTGGCCCCATAGCCCAGGCTTCCTTAGTACTTACACTTTGTGTCCCACACTGGACTTGAACTCCTGGTAACCGTTCTACTCAACCTCTCCCATATGCAGTGTTACAGGCCCGTGGCCACCAGTAGAATTTAGCTGTTGCTGTGGAGGAATGTGTTCTGCCTAGTTACCAGAGAAGCACAGCCTCCACCTATGCCTTGCCTAGTGTCCAGCAGTGTAGAGACTCAACCTGAACCATCTCCAGATCACTGCAACTGGGAGTCATTAGAAGGATGGTGAATTTGAGTGGGTAGGTGTTCTTCAAGGTTTAAGTCAGCACAAAGTGCAAGTTAACAAACATATACATCTGATACTGAAATAGATCATTTCTTACCCATGTGAGTTATCACTGTAAGAGGTTAAAAATGTCATGTTTTAAAGTTAAAAGATGTACATACTTAAGTATAAATTAGTGCTCAGTTTGCAGTAAGTGATAGCTCTGAAAAGAGTTCAATGGAAAATGTGAGGGTTTTTGTTTTGAAGTACTATTACTAGTAGTAGACTAAGCAGTTTAAACGCCCCCCCCCCCCAATACATACTTCCTAGACTTTTCAGATGTTGCTTTTTATGGTCAGAGCAGTGAAGGTCTTCTTTGCAGGTGGATGTGCTTGAGTTATCTCTTATATATCATCACCTATCCTTTAAAGAGGAAGGCGGAGGGAGATTTTCTACATAAATGAGAAAAGCTTAAAGACAGCAGAATAAGATACTGTGTTCCCTTGCATGGTGGTGCACACCTTTAATCCCAGCCCCGGCTTTAAGGCTAGTATGGTGACAGCCAGGGCTACAAATTAGAAAGCCCTTGTCTCAAAGGAAAGATAGGTTTGGAGATTGATGCGTTCAGAAGATGGAATCCCTGGAGGCATCTGAAGCCAGTACCATTCAAGATCCGCCTTCCATAGTTCCAGGGTCTGAGCCCTGCTGCTTTTGTGATCATGTGTTTGGAATTAGGCAGAAATTGGAAGATGTTGAGGCACGCACAGGGCAGAAAGTACATAGTTGTTTGTAAACCTGCAGTAAGATGGGTTGTTTACAGGTACTTCTTTAGCCACCAGAAGCATGTCAAAGCATGTTGTTTGGAACTGGAAGGAAGATCTGACTCCACAGTGAAAACAGCAAAAGGACTGAAGAATAAAATCAGCTTAAAAGGAACTAACACTTGATTATTTAGGAGAATCTCAGGCTTTTACAGATTGCAAAACATAAATCACAGAACTAGAAGAGTAGGCTCAGTGGTTAAGAACAGTTGCATTTGCAGAGGATCCAGGTTCGGTTCTTGGCGGCTTAATAGTTCTCTGTAACTGCAATTCTAGGGGATCCAATACCATCTCGTCTCTGGTCTCTGTAAGTTATCGAGTACTCATGGTGCATATACATGCATGCTAGCCACAAGTTCATATACACAAAATGTTGCCTTTTGCCAAGACACAGAAGAACTTAGTCTAAATGAAGGTTTAGCATCTAGACAGCTTTTTGTGTGTGACACACAGGTCCTGGCAACCTCAGCAATGCTCAGGAATGAGGATTATCTAGAAGGGGGTGGTGGGGAAGGGTCCTGATATGGTGACTTACACTGGAGACTGCTCGTATGAGTGCTTCTTTCTTTATAGTGAAGCACTTTAAACATTTGCTCTGGTCTTGGGAGGTAGGAACTTCAAAAAGTACTTAGGTCTTCGTACCAGTTGTGAAAGGCTTGGCCTCAAGGCCTTAGCCATTTCATTTCTTCCCACTCTCATGTGCCTATCTGAGGCCTAATTCAAAGAGACATTTCTTGGAAGGCCTTTGTATACCACTCCATCACAATTAGGTCAATCATACCCTATTCATCCACACCACTTAAACATCCTGTATCTTAGAGGCATCCATGTGTCTACAATAAATAAGTTAAATCATTTACAAGAACCCAATTTCTTATCTATGTTCCAAATGACTTTTGCCAATAAAGACTTTAGTGCATGGTTACTTTTGGCCACTCCTTGGGTAGAATGTCATCCAGTTCTTGTTTTCTACAGCTCATGAAGAAGCATATTATTACAATACCCAGCATGCACACTGCTGTTTCAGCCAGGCAAGCACCACAGTACCTAGGGAAATTCCACGGTATCTACAATACATTATTGCTTCTCTTTCTCTTTTACTGGTCCTTAATTCGGCTGAATTTTAGTATTTAATATCAGCAGCACTCAAACCAAAGAGCAATATCAAAAGAGCTGGCTTTAACAAGCATGTGCCTGCCAACATCTTCAAACACAATTATCTTTAGACCCCCCTCATAAAGGACATTCCACTTTCCGCAAACAAAATTTTGTTCAACGCCAGACACTTCTTAAGCTCCCAACTCTACTGTAATTACCACAAATGGGCATTTATAAATATATCCAGGGTTTTTATCAGTTTCTAGAAGTCCAGCTTTTTTTCCTAAGGCATCTTTCTACTGAATTCCACTGTCAACATGTCATCAGAATGATGTCACTCCCTACAGTCTATCAGTAGGTGTCTACATCTGTGTAAATCAATCCACAAATAGAAAACAAAGCACTAGAGGGCTTACAGAAACTTGACCTCATTTTCATGTAACACCTTTTTACAAAAGTAGAGGTGTAAAGAAATGAAGATTAAAAGAACAAAAATTGGCCATTAACCTCTGCCTGAGAAAGGTTCCCCTACACTATGATTTCCACCCCCACCCCCCTCAATAATAAAACTTTCTTCTTGCCATGGGTGAATTAGTAACTGATGTGGGCAGTCACACCAAGGTAAGGAGTGTCCAGGCTATCCCGAAATCAAACCTCACACAGCCATCTAATCCTTTTACCATGTTCTCACAGATCTAGTTCCTCTTCTGAAATGTTTGTCACAAACCTGACTGCATTCACCCTACAAATTTCAATCCTCCAAACTGAATTAAGATTGTCTCCTTTCTTCTATTTGCAGTGAGACTAACAGTTAACCCACCCATACTCTAGACAAACTACCCTTTGTGTTTTTCTTAATAGTCACTGTTTTCAAGGAGAAATTAAGTTAAGTGACACATCTTGCTCTTTCCCAAAAGAGCAAGTCTCAGCAGCAAATACTTTTCTTGGTCTTGATACTGCTACTGTATTCAAATCAGACTTTCCTAGAATCTCTCCTGGGTTGTGTCTACATTCATGGGTTACTATCTTGGGGTTTTGAACTACTCATATTCATAGTCTCTCCTTACACTGGCTGATTATATTTTAATTGGCCAGTACCTTTTATAGCTCTATAATTAGTCTCTGTACTTCTGTTTAGATTATAAGTTAGAAATAAGAGATAAATGGTGTGAGCTGAGCCTAGGTTATATGAGATCTGTGGCAGGGGGAGGGGAGTAAGATCGGGGAATGTAGTCTTCCTTCTGTTTAGTAATGGGGTGCTATTCTTGTCAGCTATCTGAAACACTTGGATATTGTTTTTGCCCTGATGGTTGTTTCTAGGCTTAAGCAATTTAAGTATGGTTAGAATGAAGACACTGGGGATAGGGGATAGCATACCACCCCCATCCCAGGAAAATGATTTAAAATATGAAAATTTTACAATTCTCTCCAAAGTTAGAGATTAACATCATCAATTCTACCACTCTTTACTTCAACCTCAAGGTCTTTGAAGAGCCTTGAGAGTCTCCTCAAAGTCCAATTACTGAGCACAATCCACATAACCTGGAAGACCCTCAAATACACAGAACTCACCAGTTTGGCCTGTGCTTCTGCAATTTTCCGGTTATTTTCTTCTAATATCCGCTCCAGTTCCTCACGCTTTGCTCGCTCTTCCTCCTAAAGGGGAGGACATGTCACGATGTTAGGAAAATAAAGTGTTTAGCTCTACTATCAAATATTACTAATCTTCCTCTCAACTCTGTTGGATCTGACTTACAGGGCAGCTTTACAGCTACCTTTCTGTCTGACAAATGATAAACTGTGCAGCCACTAAAAAATTTGTTTCTAACACTAGATTTAAATCATCCCTCCCAGTCCAAAACAGCAACCGACTAAACCCTCCCTAATAGTCTCCTGGCAATTATTACTAATACTTTAATATCACACAAATCAACAAGGACAACTACAAAACTGGATAGTATTTACCAAATTAAAAGTATATAAAATATAAATAAAGTGAATATTTGTCTCACCAATTATGGATACCTACGTATTCTTTACCTATACTCCTTTAATCAGCATTAAAAGTTGAGTATTTACTGTCTTGTCCAGTGTCCTGCAGAGTGTGCTCCTCGGCTGCCATACGCGCCAGCTTCCTCTTTAAAATGATTTGTACTGTTAGCTTGGCAATACCTGCATCAGCAGCTCAACCATTTATAAAGAAACAACATACAAGGAAGGCTGAGCTGAGGAATGCAGATGTTTATGGTAAGAAGGAACAAAAAATGTAATTCATCATTCCTAAGGCAAACAATTAATAAGAAAAATACATTTACTGTTAGTGAAAAATACAAATGGTAATCCATACTAAGGACTGCTTCCATGGGGCATGGACTTAACATCAGATGTTGACAATCACTAAAGGCAGCTTATATTGTCATCTACAGTCTGCACTGAAATTCAGGAATCCAGGGGATGCACAGTCAGGAAATAAAATTCTGTCATTTTTTTTCTTGGAGAATTTAATGAAGTTTTATAATGCAAACTATATGAAGATTGCTTGATGGATTGGGCAGTGTTCAGATCACAGCATACATACTCAAATGATTTTAGTATTTGGAAAGACTGTCAGAGGATTGTGTCCGTGTTAAAAAAAAAATGTTAATATGAAACAAAAAGCAAATGAAGAGGAAAAAAATCTTGCTATGATTAATAACTCGCTACAAGATAGCACAATTACTCCAAAAATATCTCCATTATTAAAGGCACTGATATAAATAAAAATACCATACACTGATTTTTAGTCTGTGAAACCAACTACAAACAGATCTAATGTAGTTAAGACAGGACAAGGGAAATGCACTGTACAAGCAAAGCTTACTAGAAAGCAGACTTAACACAATGTCAACTTGTCCACAGTAACGCCAGGATGAAAAAATGACAGTAAGTCATGTATTTAAGCCGATTATTTATAAATTTATGTTCAAGAAAATGTAACTACAGATTTCCTGTGTCACACAAATGGGATTCATTTATTCATTAACAAACTGTGGATGGACACTCAGTGCTGTGAAGCAATTTGCCTTGAGTGTTTCTGTGACTTTCGCCACACTTTGCGATCCTGGAGTAATCAGTGCAAACAAGCCATAAAGCTTCAGTAGCAAATTACTGTCTCACAGAAAGACATTTTCAACTTCTGCTCCAGCTGCTGATAAAACAAATCATGTGTTTAGCTTGACTCCAGACAAGGACAACCTGTTCCTTCATAACTCTCTAGAGAAAAAAAGGAGTTGTTAGTAGGTACTTTAAAAAAAAAAAAAAAAAAAAAAAAAGGAAAGAAAAAAAAAAAGATGAACAATCTGGACATTTTTCCTTAAAAGATTCCTTCAAACACATTAAGAAAATGGAGGGCCTTATAATCAAAATGCTACAATTAGTCCACTGTGTTGAAAGGATTTGGGGAGGGGATGAGGGGTAACAGAAGGAAGAGAAGAGTGAGGAAACCTGTGCATCAAAAGCAGGTGCTGTCACTCAACATCAGGCCCTGCTCTTTGTGATCTGACTGAAGGCAAAAGCCTCTCACAGTCTAAGTAACAGAGTGATAAACAGAAAAGAAGATGTAACCGCGGGTGGATTTTTAGCCTTTTCCCTTTTCCACTCCCTGGCTTCCCCCTACCCTCCCAAAAAAGAATGTAGTCCTGCAGCCATGGCAAAAGTTTCAAACACTTCTCAAATACATAAGCCAGTTCCGTTAGATCAAAAAAATATCCTTGAATAAGTTTTAAGAAAGTAACTTTTAAGTACCAGTCAGCACTTCTGGCTAAAAAATTATCTTTCGCAGCCATGTAACTTTAGATGAGAAAGGAATTAGATAGTCGCATTCCATCTCGTTCTTGACTGAGCAGGAGGCACACCTGACACTGAAAGTTTTGCCATGGACTGTCTCTACTTTCCAAACGACCGAGCGTTACCTCTCTAGCTTTTTGTGCTGCAAGCTCAGCTTGTCTCTGTCGCTCGAGTTCTTCGAGCAACTGCTTTTCCATGATGCGTTTGGCCTCTTCCACCCTTCGGAGGACCTCGCGCTCGATCTCATCCTTCCTCTTCTCCAATTCTTCTTCCACCCTCTTTGCCACCAGCTCTTCCACTCTTCGTGCTGTCTCTTCCTCAATGAGTTTTTCTTCTATTTCCTGCTGCCGACTGAACAAAAGCAGAAAAGACAATATTTCAACCTACAAATTTTAAACTAATTTTAAACCTACTTACTGATTCTGATTTCTTCTATCATTGATAACTTTATAGCTTATTTTCATATCATAGTCAAAGAACAGTCAGGATAATGAGTAATACAGAAATTCAAATGGGGGGGTTAGGTACACTCTAAATATAGGAAGACTAGTATGTAACAGGAACCTAATTCATCAGAAACTGCAGATCTGAAACAGGTGTCTACTTCTGTTATCAGGTTGGCGATGCACTTAGTGCACTCATGTCCCTGCTCCTTAAGTAACGAACAGCCAACAGCAGTGTGGCCTTTACTCTGGGCTCTGACCTTCTTATCTTATTGTGCCTTTTCCTCCTTTTAATGTTTGATTTTATTTAAAAGCTGTTCTGGATTTGACAGAGCAGAAAGGTAAAATTGTATTATCAAGGCTAATCGAATCATACTGTTCTCATTTTAAGCCCATAGACACAATTAGCTTATTGACTGAAAACAAAATTTTATCTAAGAACATCTATCAAAGTGTTATCAACAAAAATACTTGTGCTGGTTCCATGTTCTATTTTCAAGTTAGTAGGAAGAAAAACCTAAAATGTTCTTCCATTTTATTTGGTTGGATGTTACAGGATACTGTTTGATAGACCGAAAGCTTGTTACACTTTTAAATATAGGTACTACAAAGTATTAATCTATATTTTGCTCTCATTATGTTTCCACCTAGCAGCAGGCCAAGAATTATTTAGTGCAGAATGAATGAATTCAAACGTTCTTAATGATGTAACTAAGTCCAAAGAGGCCAATTATCAATACTTCCTCCCAAACTATGAAATTAATAAAACCTGCAACTTCTATCTTTAGCATCTACTTGATATACACATGTATGAGACAGCTGTACAACTGACATGCTCAGGGAAGACTTTCTAGTTTGGTGTGGCCTTTAAGTAATTAATCTAACACATTTCAACTCAATTCCCACCCAAGGACTTTCAGCTCAATCCATTCCTCTCAGTTTCTACACTTATCTTTGACCTGTTTCTACCAAAGCAGAAGACAGGACAGCAGACTTGGTTTTTCTCAAGGTTTTAGCTATTTCCAACACTATGAGGACTTGCCTCCATCTTTATTATTTCCTTCCCAACTACATACAATTTTCCAACAGTGTAAAAGCTTAAGACTCAACACATCCCTTTCTCTTTAACTTCCTATCAAATAAAGGCTAGAGTAAGACTTTCTTTGTCAACAGCTACTTAACAAGACACACCAGATACAGAGAGCATGATGACACTGAACAGGTAAGTTACTTGATTCGATGGTAATCATCTACAGAATGGTCTCTATCCACCCAAAGGGAAACTTTTTGTTGCTTTTTTTTTGGGGGGGTCATCAGTTAGATATACTAAAGCCTAAGAAACTCAGCATTTACATCTTCAAAAACTTAACTCTCAAGTATCAGTGTTAGATGGACCAGAGTACTAAGTACAGAAGAAATAATGTACAAAGGGAGGGAAATAAGTAAAGACCCTAGGAAAGCTCACCAGCAAGCAGCAAAGGTCCCACTTTAGGAGGAATCTGTTAGTGAAAGAGACTTACAGGGTTTGGACCAGGCAATCAAGTCATATCTTCTAAGCATTATAGGCAACAGCCAGCCAGCCCACCCCAGTAGACTTACTTATGCATCCTCAGTGAGGGTCTGGGCATGGCTGCACCACAAGCCTCACAGGATCATAACTTTGGCTGTTATTCTCAGTGACATTTAAAAGGCATCTTGTCCCTTTCCCGAACATACAATTCAGAAAACCAACAGGCACATAAGACAGTCCATCTTCCTAGATGGTTATCAGGAAATCAATAATAAACCCACCATTAGGCCAACCTTTCCATTAAAAACAATCACATCATAAGAATCACACAGACCTTTAATTCCAACACTCAGAAGGCAGAGTTCGAGGCCAGCCTGGTCTACAGAATGAGCTCCAGGACAGACAAGGCTACACCAAGAAACCCTGTACTAAACAAACAAACAAACACCATACAATTCCAGAATTCTTTCAAGCTTTTGCTTGCATTCCTGGGTGAGAGCCAGGACGTCCTGCCTATCCTGAGATAGCAGGTTCTAGCTTCTTAAATCTGAGCCCAAATAAATCCAGGGTGTTTGTGTGTTGGGGAGTGGAGACTAGGGACACAACACAGAGCTCTATCTTGTCTCTCTCATCTCTGTCAATTTCTCTGCTGAGCCCACTGCTTTGTTAAAAATCTCCTACCAGACAAGAGTTATTTAATCAAGATCAAGTTTTGATCAATAAGGTTCCATTTTTTCTTGGGCATTTAAGAAAATACTAGTCACAGTGAAGATGGTAACTGACTAGCAAAGCAGGGAGGGCACCGTATTTGGGCAATGTTAAATGGGGGCATTTTTTAAATTTAAACTGATGCTGTATATTTTTTAAAAAATCCTTAAAACAAAGGAACTCACCTCTTGGAACTCTAGGAATTATTGCCTGGTAATTGCTAGCAAACACTAATTACTTTGTACCTAATAAGGTACTAAACACTGGGCCACAGTGAATGCTGCAGTGACGGAATGACCCTTGACAGACCCTGCAGCTTAAATCTTCTCTGGGACAAAGGTGAGGCAAGGATGGGGTTGACTGAAAGAGTGCTCTCTTCATCGGTCTTTTATATAGCTCTGCAGAGTATCTTCAGTCACAGAGTTCTTCATCCTTAAGATGAGCTCTACTATTAATTCCAGTTCACCTTTGACACTCTTAGGCTCCTGATTTGTAATGCAGATAACACTAATGTTTAATTTCAGATGTCACTGGGGGAAGTTACCAGGCCAATGATAGACTTTCTACAGGTTGTTTCAGCTACCTGGTTTTCCCATCAGTTAATACAACTTAAAAATACCTAAGAAATGTTAATACTGGTACAAGCAGAGATGAGGAATCACATTATGTGGCTGGGACCCAAGCAAAAGAGGGAGATTGGATTGAATTTAGAGCTACATGAATTAGCTCTTTAAAAATGAGAATAAATGTTAAAGGCCTACCTTTTCATTATTTTTTTAATTATTGTAATGAATTAAGGTAATTACCAGATTCCTTGTTAAGTTATTCAGCAGGCTATGCCTGGAAGCATATAAAGTTATGCTCAGTAACATTTACTGACTCATTCTATACCAAATACTAAGTACTTGATAGCATCTCCAATCTTCACAATAAAATGGACTTCCAAGCCAAGCAGTGGTGGCATACACTTTTAATCCCAGCACTCGGGAGGCAGATACAGGAGGATCTCTGTGAATCTGACACCAGCATGGTCTACAAGAGCTAGTTCCAGGCTAGCCTCCAAAGCCACAGAGAAACCCTGTCTTGAAAGAGAGGGAAAAAAAAAAAAAAAAAAAAAAAAAGAATTCCATTTCATACACAATCAGATGATTTAAGGCCTCAGAATTATAGGTAGCAAAGCAATTGGTCCCAATTATCAGACTTAACTGGTTAAACCCAACAGATGACTCTTGTTTTACCATGTCTCCCCCCACCCATCTAACCCTAGACTTGATGAAAATACACCAAGCACTCATGTATTTTAGTGTCATCTTGTTTCCACCCTGGGCTTTTTACTGTAAATACACACTCCCAGAGGGTTCTTTCAATCCCTGGGACCAACTGCTCTTCTCTTTACGGTCCCCAAGGAATTCTACCTATTCCCCTGGTTTCAGAGACATATCACCCACCTTAGTTAGCTGAGTTATACACAAAAACCAGAACCTAGGAGGCCAAGGGAGAGCCTGCCCTTCCCTTTCCCTCACCTACACTGCTCAGCAGGCTTGCCTCATTTTAGGGAATAAAGGAGGAAGAATAGGTTAAGTTGTAATAATGGCACTACAAACACAACAGCCAACTGTGATGATTTTCCTACATCCTACACTCAACCTTTTCAATCAGTTCCTCTTCCATTCCAACAACTGCTCTTACCCACTTCCCCCTCCTTGCTAAGTCTCCACCCTACACAATGCATCCTATACAACAAATGGTCTTTTAAAGGGCACCATTTCATTTCCCTTCTTACAACTTCCTAACCTAGGACAGATTAAACATACTCATACAAGAACCCACCTATAACTCCCAGCCTCCAGTCACTCCTGGACTTCAGCACTTACAGAGAGCCCCACTGTGGCCAACACCACTGACTGCTCTTTCAACTTCCTTCCATTCTGTTTTCTTGTGGATTCAAGAAGACAGCTGAATTACTTGCTCCTTTGGACCACATATATCCTATTGGTAGGCTGACCATCTCCTACCCTCCACTCTCTGTGATATACTACTACATATTACCAGATCAAGATCTCAGAAGGAGCCAATTAATTTTTCCTCCAACAGCACCCACTACAGCTCCTGGTAGTTACTAAAGGCTCAGTGCATACTACGCAGCCAGCTCAATAAACAAGCAATAGGCATCTGTAAACACACTACTTTCCCTCACTCCCAAGGCTCTTATCGCCTATGGTTGAGTGTCCTCTCTGCAAGACATTAGGACACAGAATTTGGTGGCTGCCAGTCCTGTCCCTTCTCAAATGCCAATGGCAGCTTGCCTTCTCTCAACCCAGAACCACAGCACAACTCTACGACCCCTCATTTCATCCTATGTTGGCCATGTGTGGCGTACTAATGATTCTAATCAGCACATCAAGTTTCCTTTGTTTTCACATGCACAATTACCTCAACTGTCACAGGCAGCTTTTTCTATGTCCTACATCTTCAAGGCGGTGGGATGGTTCCACACCCTAACAGGATTCCATGTGGCCAAGGTGTAGTGAGAAACAATCTACTGACAGCACAGGGCCCTTCCACCTCCAGTATTGGCTGTGTTCAATCGAAGACCTGCTTCTGGAGAAAATTTGCCTAACACAAACTCAAACGCAGAAAACAGAAACCCCTACACAAGTCCATACACCTAAAGTTCCTGCTCTGTAACCATTTATCCAGTCTTTACTCAACAACTCCGGAGACGATGGCTGGCTGGCTGGCTAGCACATAGGCAATATGCATAGCACTATTGTTCCACGTGGCCGCGAAGGAGGCGGGGGAGGGGGAGGAGTGAGCACGTCTTTAAAAAGTACTGCACAATGCAGAAGTTCACTCTGGTTGCATTATCCACACCTACTGTTTTTTTAAACATCCAAAGACCCAGAAACCACGTGTTCTCTACCCAATTTTAAGTCTGTCAATCCCCTGACAGGAAGCGAATTCACCCTGTGTGAAAACTCAGGGTACTCTGAAACTGGAAGCAGGCTTGTAGGCAAGGAACGGCGGGGTCCAGCATGCTCGCTGGAGGGGCCGAGGCCACAGGCAGGAGGGGAGGGGAGGATGGCTACCCAGGTGCTCGCTGGGGGTCTGAGCATCTGTCATCCCAAGGCTGTATAAGGGAGGAGGGACGGCCCTCACCCCGGATCCCCTCGCAGGTACACCCTGTGCCCCGAAGCCCCGGACCCAGCGATGCGCGGCCCCGCCGACCTCCCGCCTTCAACTCCGACTTCCGGGCTGGCTCTCCCGCCCCACGGGTGTCGTCCGTCCCCCTCGCCCCCCGACACCCCCTCCCGAGCGCGCCCCCGCGCCTCCGGTCGCGCGCCCCTCACATTTTTCGCTGCCGCTCGAACTCCGCCTTCTTCTCCTCCTCCTCCCGCTTCTGCTTCTCGTCCAGGCTGCTGCGCTTGCTCACCGTGCGCCCGAAGATGTCGATGCGGTCGGGCGGGGACGAGGCGCGCTCCCGCTCGCGCCGGGACGCCGCCGCGTTGGTGGAGCGCGAGCGCGAGCGCGACTCCCGCCGCCGATTCCGTTTGCTCTCCCGGGACTTGGAGCGCTTCCGCACCCGCTCCTTGTCCCGCGAGCGCGAGCGCGAGCGGCTGCGCTTCTTGTTGTGCTTGGAGCTCTTGGTGTGCTTGGAGCGGGACGAGCTCCGGCTCCGCGACCGGCCCATCCTCGCGCGGCGCGGCACCCGCCGCCTGTCACCCGCTGCCCGCCGCAGGCCGCCCTTCGCCGCCGGGAAGCTCGGCCCCCCGCCCACGGACCCTCCGCTTCTCCCCGAGCGCACCCGCCGCGCACACGGCCGCCTCCGCCGTAGAGGCCTAGCAGGCCCGGCCCGGAGTCCCTAAGATGGCAGCTGCGGCAGCACCGGCCGCCCTTCCCAGAATGCCCTGCGCCGAGCGTGCCTGCGTGAGCCCCGCCCCCTGGCGACGTCGTCGAGGCGGGCGGGCCGGCGAGTGCCGCCGAGCGTGCTCGGTTCTTTCCGCCGCGGCGCGGGAACCTGAGGCATGGTTGGAGTTCCGGGCCGCCTTCGGGTTTCTCTCAACTTACCTCAGCAAAACCTCTAACTCTAAGGGTTTAGAAGATATTCTTGATGGACGTTGGCCGAAAGGCAGAATGAGGCCCGTTTAAGTGGGAAAAGTCTCCTTAGGCGGCATTGAGAGTTTACTCATTTGCTAGCCCGTTATGGTGGTAGGCGCCCATAACCCTAGCCCTCAGAAGGTGAGGCCTGAGGACCAACCAACTGTTGGGGTCAGCTATGTAGCAAGTTGGAAGCCAGCTGGGGATACATGCATAATATATATATATATATATATATATATATATATATATATATATATATAAAACCTATGCATGCATGCATACCATATGTGTGTGTGTGTTTATGTGTATAGCCAACCACAAAATTAGAGCAATTCCCAGAGTCGCAAATTATCAGGATGTGCATGTTAGAGCTAATTAAATATTTTTAAGTTTTACTTAAAAGGTTAACATCATTGTAGATTTTCAAAAGAAAAAAAAAAAAAAGTGAGCTCTAGGCCTAGCCCCAGTGGGCAGGGGAAAGACAAGGAAAAGAAAAATGAGTAATGACTTAACCTCATTAGGGTCTTCTAGCTTTTGAGCTGCTTTAACAAAATATCAACAGCTTGTTACTTTTTACCCACACTTTTGGAGGCTGAGAAGTACTCCGATTATGTCCTGGTGGGTATGTTTGAACCCCCAATGTGAGACCTAGTGCTTAGCCTAGAGAGGGGAAAGAACACAAAAGACAAGGATTCCCCATGAACACCTTAAAAACACATATCCCATTTTTGAAGCCAAAGAGCCTCCCCATCCCTCCCTGGCGGGCTTAATCTTTTCCAAAAAGGCCCCTCCTCCTTCCCTTTCTCCTTTTGGATTTTTGAGAGAGTTTCACTCTGTAACAGTCCTGGCTGCCCTGAACTAGATCTGAAAACCAGGTTGATCTTGAACTCAGATCGACCTACCTTTGCCTGTCTTGTGCTGGGATTAAAGTGGGCTAGAGCCCCACTTGTTAATGCTGTCACATTGCATATTGGGTCCAACTCATGAATTTTAGAGGAAGGATTTTTCTGGGGGTTCAGAGGCAGCATGTGTTGCACTCTGCCTCTGTCTTTCTTGAGAAAGTATGTGTGTGTATGTGTGCTGGGGGTAGAACCCAGGGACTCATGCAAGTGTCCTGCCAGCTACAGGGCACCTGTAGAGAATTGGGTACAGGTTTCACATTGTTCCTGTGAGCTCTCATCTTCGTGACATCTGCAAACATGGCATCCTGTGGTTCAAGCTAGACAGGAATTTGAGAGTAGCACCCCCATCTGTCTCCCAGCATCTTAGCAGTCTGTCAGCCACTTCAGCAGCATCCCTCTCTTGCTGAGAGCTGCTCCTAGAGAGGACAGCCCCTTGATCTGCCCTTCACCCAGTGAATTTATGTCAGGCCTACTACCTGGCACATGGGAAGCATTCAACTTCATGAATCAGTAAATAAACACAACAGTCCTGACTAGCTTATATCAAACAGCTTTCTAGAGAGTTTGAAATGACAGGATCTTCCCCCTAAATAAAGAAGAAATGCCAAACCATCCAAGAGTAAAATTTAGTGGTACCAGTTACTACTGGAATCCTTCCACAGGAGGAAGCAGAGGTCATACTCTGGGGATGCTTACAGTCTCCTCTCCCAAACCATGAGCTTTAATTTAGGCTTTTGCCAATCATCTTGTGACTTTTGCAAACCCCCCAAAGTGCAGCCCCCTAACCTTTGGTACTCATGGGTACATCCTGAAATGTCTTTCCAGACAGAGACAGGGTCTTTCCAGATAGAGACACCTTCAAGCTAAGCTGGAGCCATAAGAGAATAGTGATTCTTCTCCAACATGGCAGGCATCCATATGTGGAAGACACACTGACACATGTGGATGGAGTACCACATGAGGACTGAGATAGATGGAGTGAATCAGCTACAAGCCAAATAAAGCCCAATGAGACTACTGGCCAGCACCAGAATCTAGCCAGGGCAATGAAAGTTCCAGCAACCACAGGAGAGTCTGACTCTACAGACATCCAGGGTTAGGGTTTCTACCATCCATGACTGAGGTGCTACATATGATAAATTACACTCATTTAGAATTTGAGGAAATATGCTGTAGAAACCTCAAGAAATGTATGAAGCTATTTAACACTGAGCCCCAGGGAGAGGGTTTGTCATCTTTCTGCTTCTGTTTGTGAGGTCTGCCCACTTATTAATAGGCTAGATCACTTCAGGCTAAAGCAAGCTTTTGTCCTACCTTGCTGCTTGACTTATGAACCATTAGCTAAAATAATAATGATGCTAATAATAACATCTGGAGAGATGGCTCAGTGGTTAAGAGCACTGGCTGCTCTTCCAGAAGACCTGGGTTCAATTTGCAGCACTTACATGGCAGCTCATAACTCTCTGTAACTCCACTTCCAGGGGATCCAATGCCTTCTGGCTTCTTTGGGCACTTATGCTGTGAAGTCATACATGCAGGTAAAACACCCATGCATAAAGTAATTTTGTAAAGTAGCAATAATATTTACTGTGTTAGTTTATGTCAACTTGACACTAAAGGAAGGAACTGCAATTAAAAAAAAGAAAGAAAAGAAAATGCCTCCAGGGCTGGAGAGATGGCTCAGCAATTAAGAGCACTGGCTGTTCTTCCAGAGGACCCATGTTCAATTCTCACATAAAATAAATTTAAATAAATTATATAAATAAAACAAAAAGAAAGAAAAGAAAGAAAATGCCTCCATAAGACTGGGCTGTAGGCAAGCCTGTGGTGCATTTTCTTAATTAGTGATTGATGGAGGAAGGTCCAGCCCATGTGGGCTATGCCTACCCTGGGCTGGTGGTTCTGAGTTCCTTAAGAAAACAGGACGAGAGAGCCATGGGGAAGAAAGCAAGCACCACTCCATGGCATCTGCATCAGCTCCTGCCTCCAGGTTCCTGCCCTGTGTGAGTCTATGCCCTTGCTGCTTTTGGTAATAAACTCTTAACATGGAACTATGATCTAAATAAACCCTTTCCTCATCAAGTTGATTTTGCTCGTGATGTTTTATCACAGCGGCAGTGACCCTAACAATGACAGCAAGCTTTTCATGGTTATAGCAAGTACCTGGCATAATCAGTTTACAGAGAAAAGGTTTGTTAGAGGTTGTAGCCTGTGGCTCCTTAGCCCTGTCTCTTGGGTAAGATGGCAGACATATCAGTGCTGGGCATGTTGACAGAAAAAAGTGCCCAGCTTAGCAGCATAAAGTGAGGAAGAGGAGGTGCAGGTCTCTCCTAAATCCCCTAAGGTCTTAAAGCCGGCTGCTAGACCCCACCCCTTAAAGCTTGCACCATCTCTTACTAAATCAATCTTGGGAAGAATCCTTCAACACAAGGACCCTTGGGGGAACATTCTGCATCTAAACTGTGGGGCTGGGTTGCTGCACAGAGCTAGTACACCCTGAAAATGAACCAACCATGTACATCTTTGGAGAAACATATTGCTTACTTTTATGTTTAATAAAAAAATAAAAAAAACTTTAAAAATATTTGTATTTTTATACATAAAGGTTTTTTGGACACATCTGTATTTTTAACAACAACAACAACAAATTATCCCCGGGGGGAGAAGATGTGGTATATGAGGCAGAAAGGAGAGATGGGTTTGACTAATTACCTAGACTTTCACTCAGGAGCTTCATTACCAAGCAAGTGTTTGTCACCCTCTGAAATCTTATGACATTTAACAAATCCTCCCAGAGACTGCCAAGTATTTGCTGCTCAGAGACTCTGTGCTGCTGCCATTTAAAATTCAGAACCAGGTTCTAGGAATGGATTTTTCTTCCTAGCTCACTATCCAAAAGTCTGTAGTAGGAAGAAATACAAACCATTTCCTGTTTCTACTTCTGAGTTGAAAGTCACCACATGATGTGGAGCAGGTATCCATGCAGGTCACAGTTTGAGTGGCTGCCTTCTAGTGGATGGGGAAACCAGACATCAAAAGGCAGAAGGGGCATCATGCCTTTATGACCAGTTGCTGGTGTTTTCTGAAGGAGTTTCAGTCATACCTCTGGCAGTCAGTACAGTCTAAAATAAAGGGCATGTGGCCTTTAACTTTGTTTATTGTGGTGTGAATATGTTTGAATGAATAGGGAGTGGCACTATGAGAAGGTGTGGCCTTGTTGGACTAGGTGTGGCTCTGTTGAAGGAAGTGTGTCCCTAGGCCTTGAGGTCTAAAATGCTCAAGCCACTCCTAGTGGCTCACAGTTCACTTTCTGCTGCCAGTAGATCAAGATGTAGAACTTTTAGCTTCCTTTTCACCACCATGTGTGCCTGCTGGAACTAGAAAAGATCATCCTGAGTGATGTGACCCAGACCCAGAAAGACAAACATAGTATGTACTCACTTATAGGTGGATATCAGCCCTACAGTAAAGGAGAACTATCCACAGACCCTGTGAAGCAAAGTAACAAGGAAGGCTGGTTTGTGTGTGTGTGTGTGGGGGGCACATGAATCTCACTGTGAAGGGTTAATAGAATAGAATAGAATATGTAGACTGGGGGTTGTCTAGTTGGGGGTTGTCTGGTTAGGGGTAAGAATGGAAATAGGAGGGTTCAGGTAGGGGGAGGATGGAGGGAGAGAGCCCTGGGAAAGACAGCTGGAATCAGGGGCACCTCTAGGATGAAATAGAAACCTAATTCAATGGAAACTCCCCAGGAATCTATGAGAGTCATCCTACTAAGACTCATAGCAATGGGGTATATGGAACCTGAACTGGCCATCCCTTGTTACCTGTCAAGACTTGTAATGGAGGGATTGGGACTCCAACACAGCCACAAAACTTCTGACTTGCAATTTGCCCT